GTGTCGGAAACGGCGTGGACAACGGACAAAGGTGAGCGTCGTCAACGAAAAACAATAAAATAAAAGGGAATAAAGACAAAAACGGGAGGTGTGTGGCGGGAAACGGGCAGCTATGGTCTCAGCTTTTCTTCAGTGTGTGTTTCGCTGTCAGGATGCCCAGTCAGCACTTAGAGTTTAAATGGTTAAAGCGTGACTCACAAAAGGTTTGGGATGGGATCAATAGCGCTGCCTTGGCACTAAAAAGCGTATTACGTCCCTTATGTGCAAACCGTGGGTAGCATATTGCGCCCTTTGTTAATGAATTTTAACCACTAAAGGTCTCGGACGCAGCGCATTTGCAAACTTGTGGTTATTTGATTGTGAGGTGATAAGATGCAGCAGGAGCACTAGCTCTGAGTGATCACCCTGCTCCTCTGCTCTAATCAGTGTACGTATATCTTATATGAAAGGGCTCAAGAGGCAGCTTTAAAAAATGTTGTTATTAACTCTATTCCCCACTTTCAGTGATTATTTATGGGATTCATTTTGCGTAGCTGTGTTGGTGAGACTCACAAGTACCAATAATAAATATAACAACAACAAATTAAGGCTAATTTGTTGTTGTGATAATAGAGCATAAGCTGCAAAAACGCCAAACAAGACATTAAATTCAACATCACAAGATCCTGTCTTATTTGCTGCATATAAAATGCACACTTTCTCATTTATTAAGTAGTGTCTGAAGTAGCTCAGAGCTCTGTCTCCTCTTCAGATAGCTTTTTTTTCTTCAGCAACTGATGAAAATCTATTCAAATTAAAGTGATATGAAAAAAAGAGGAAAACCCTCCCCATGGAAAGCCAGAATCAATCAAATATTTGCTTGGCATTCATGGTTGTTAGATGATTGATTAATCTATTTTTATGTCACATGCCTAATGGATTTATCTTTAGTCAATACCACGCATGTTAGATGATAAAATGAAATGGTTGTTTAGTTTTAATGCTGATTTGGATTTTAATGCACAGTCATGATCAAATGAAATCATTCAAACACAAAGCTTCGGGATGGGCATAAAGCAGCAAAAACAGAGTTTGTTTACATCGTCTTAAATGTTTCTGTTATTTTGTCCCCTTCTCGTGTGATAAAAAGTGTTTTAGTGACGTCGCTGAATGACGAAGCTAGAGAAATATAAGAGACTTAAGAAGTGTCCCTCCTGATTCCAGTCATCATCATCACAGGGGAGTAGTGTGTGAAGAAACTTCCAGATTAAGTCTGAGAAGAAAATGCAGAGGATATTTTTAGAAACAGATCCAGCCATTGCTCTCTCGCTCTCTCGTTCTCTTTCTGCTACAAAGACAAACATACAGGCAGAAAACAACACAGAGGTACAACAAAGGCAGCTCCCTGCAGGTTTGTGTCCATCTATTAGGCAAATAGCACACGTGTTTGCCTTGCACTTTCTATTTTATGCCCACCATATGTTTTTTTTCTTCTTTTTTTCCCACTGGAGGGGGGTGTGGTCCAGCAGCAGTGTGTACAGTGTGACTGCAGCATGTGTCAGAGGGTGTCTGCATTTGATGTCATACAGGCACTGACATTTCCCTGTTGTTAAACCCCATGTGGCTGCTGCAGTACACACGATCCTGACTCCCAGGGTTGTTTTAGCCTCATTAAGTCATAATCTTGAAGTACACCAATGAGCCAGTTAGTTTTAGTGAAACTGGGGTAGTTCAGGTGTGGTTTACATTGGCTGGCAATGTGAGGAGCAAAACTGCCCTCTGATTTTGTTGTTAACCTTAACTGTCTCTGAGGAAAGCGCCACTTTTAATTATATTAGCATTTAATTACTTATAGTGTTTTTAGTGCTCAGTAGGTGTTAGCGGCATGTTGGGTTCAGAGAGAGCTGTTAAGACATTATTGAGCTGGCACTTTGCCACTTTTAATGGTCTGGTCAGGACCTAATGCAGCTTGGTGTTATTGATGATGAACACGTGGCTGTAAGCGAGGAAGAGGAACGTGCGAGGAAAAAGCAAGAAACAGTAAAAAAAAAAAGAGGAGATAGAGGAAACGCGTGTAAAACTTTAGTTCGTATCTCGCTGATGCAAACTTTCGCAACTGCGTCTTTTGTCAGCAGACGTGTCAGATGGTGATTCAACATCAGCAAGGCACAAACAAAGTGCGCCCTCCTGTGCAGACTTCTGTCTGCTGTGGTGAGTCAGCTCCATCCTCAGCAAGCATCCATGAAAAGTATCACAAACGCACACTGCAGTTAGTGTTGCTGCAGGAGGACGGAGGGCTGATCCCGACCCTCTAATATTACCGTACATACTTTGAATAAATCATGCGTCAGAGTGTGTTATAGACGCAAATAACTGTTTAATCAGGTGTATTGTGACGTGGCATCTGTAGTCTGGACATTATGTCCTGTTGTCCTGGCATCACTTCACAGCCTGAGTGGGAAGAAGGAATGACAGACACTTAGAATACTTGTAATTTCCATATGGAGAAGTGAGTATTTATATGAGAAGATCGAGTAAAGTACACTATATAACTGTCTTCTGAGACACTTTTACGCAATAGTATTTTTATCATAACAATACTTTTATGTAATTTCCAGCTTAGTATGTTTATTAATCCATTCTACTAGAATAGCTTTGCATAATTAGCAGTAAAAAAATATATATCTGTTTACTTTACACCGAGCTCCCCTTCAGCCAGGTACAACACTTCCCGTAATGCAACTTTGTAAAGTTCTTCATTGGTCCCTTTGTCAAAGCCTTGGTGAACCAGGCTTTCTCTTCTGAGGAGGGAATAAGCACACCACAGTGCTAAACACTTTCAGACACACAGAAAATAGATAGGTTTTCCACATTGGCTGGATTTATGCTGTTGTCCGTATGCCGAGCCGCTTCATCAGGTGTTGCGGCATTTTTGTGGTCGGTGCATTGACGAGTGCAATAAGTGGTTTGTCTGTATAGTAGCTGCAATGTTTCTGCATGTTACTGGCAGAGATGGAGTGTGAGGTCAGTTCCAGCTTGGGAAGAAATCAACGAGAAGCCACAGCTGGTCATCGGTCCGTGCTGAAAGTGCTTTTTCTGTCTCTTTGGAAAATACTTGTAATATATTCCTGGTTAATTCCTTTCTTATGGGCGATTGGGAGCTTTCAGAAAAAAAATCTGTAATTTACGGCTGAAGCACTGCTTTGATTTTAAACTTCAGATCACCTAACTCAATTACCCACACCTCTTTCTCACCAAATATCATGCTCTTGGGTGCAGTGATATGACATGTCACACCGAGAGGAGGTGAGAAGTGAGGTGACGGTATGAGAAAGTTTTCAAGGATGAAACGAAAGGAGTGAACTTTCCAATGCACATGTGACATCAAATCAAAGGAATGAGGAATTTACATTTTAGAGCTTTAATTAGACTTCCACTGGAAGTAAGCCATGTGTAGTACTTGTTCTCTGTAATTTAAACCAAGCAGGCATGGTTGAACTGTGAAGGAGTGTCCAGAGTGAATAAAACTATGGTTCAAGAATGTCTTGTAGGTCTGTCTTCTTTTATTGCATTGTTTTTCCTCTGTTTGTCTTCCCTCCCTCTTCCTCTCAGGTCACTCAGATGTGTCAATGGCAGAGAGCACGATGTCTCCAGAGGAGATCGAGGTGGAGATGGCTCGTATCCAACGCCTGCGGGAAGTCCTGGTGCGCAGAGAGTCAGAGCTGCGCTTCATGTGAGTGTCTGTGTTTTTTCTGAGACCAGAGGTTCGCCTTTTTTTGAGTTTTTTTTAACCGAGACACAGTTGATACTCTTAATACAACACAAAGGCATGCGTGTTACTTCCTTCACACATACATTAAGCTTGCTGCTCAATATTTAGGGAAGCTGTTGATTTGTCCATTGATTATTCTGAGGGCTGGACATGCATGTAGCAGCTGAATGAGTCATCACTGATGGACTCACTGGTCGTTAAGCTTAAGGATTATAGATCACTACTGAAAAACAAGTTTTAACAGCATTATGTACCCGCTCAGTGTATCATTTTAAAACTAAAAATGGAAATACAAGGCTTTGTTTATTTTTATGCAAAACTATATCCACATTTCTCACCAATGAACCGTGTAGTTTGGGGGGTAACTGCATGTTTAGTATCTGCCCAGTGATGGTCGAAGTATCAGATGAAGCTGATAAAGATTTAAAAAATCCCACAGTGTTGCACTGTAATAAAAAGCCCACTTGCAGGGCTTAATTAGGCCACCATGCTGCTTATGGTTATCTCTCTGCTGTCCGTCCTCACGTGCAGGCACAGACACACCAAGTAGCAGATGGCGTGTCAAAGGTTGCTGGAATCTACTAATACCGATGAGAGAGTAAAACACAAGGCAGAGGAGGGAGATATACAGAGCGAGGGATCTAGGAGGGGAGAAAGGAGAAGGAGGGAGGTGTAAAACACAGCAACTGGGATACATGCAGGGAGGAGGAGGAAGGAGGCAGGAGGCTGCGGATGAGTCATCGTCCTGATCTATCACAAGGAGAATTAAATCTGCTCCACACACACACACACACGCACACACACGCACACACACAGAGGGATTTAGGGAATAAAAAGGGAAAATGCCAAGGCCCCAAGGGTGAGACATGAGGGCTACAGGAAGCACAGAGAGCATGCATGATTGATTTTTTTTTTTGTCGTTGTGTGTTTTCCGTCTCGACACACTTAACACACTCCTGATGTGTGAGCTCGAGGCTATGAAGTCTTAATGACAAGAACAAGAGCGGAGTTTATTCAACAACATCCAGCTATTGGTGATTATTTAGAGATTAACACTGAAACTGTTTGCTAATGAATTAATAAGTTCTGTGACAGAAATGAATTGAATGTGGGTAATTTATTCTGAATAATAAAAACCATTCAGAGTGCTTTGGTGGGCTCGCTTTTTAAAATGTTTGTTAACTGAATGTGTTTTGAATGGCTTTTTATATCAAGAGAAGTGATGTGAAGACTCTGTGTTGTACTGTGTGTTGTGCTTGAGGAAATTGTGGCAATCGTTTTTGTGTAGCAAAACTGATAAAATGGCAGGTTCGGAAATTGGCAGCTTTAGAGATAAAGTCAGAAAATTAGTTGCAGAAAGCTAAATTCTTCACCTCATAAAGACTTAATATAAAAAAAGCTCCGCTTGTTAGATTAGAAAATCCTTCAAACTAATTATCCAGCTCCTCTACATCAGATTATTATTTATTTTCTTCAGGATTCCTTATTATACAGTATAGGTCTGCCTGACGTCATGTCAATCAGATAAATATGTCCGAAATGGAAGTGGAAGCAGCTAATAATATCAGTTTGTCTGTAATCTGATGGAAGCCAGCGCTTTACTTTTATTCCTCCCTTTTATCTTTTCAGGATGGATGACATTCAGCTCTGCAAAGACATCATGAGTTTAAAGCAGGAGCTAAGGCAGATTGTCGCAGTACCAGGTACAATTAACAGTCACTCATGGAAATTCTGCATCAAAATCAGGCGATAAAGAACTCACAGTTGTTCCTCTGCATCCAGAACTGTCCACACTCTCTGTTTAGACTTGACCAAAAATAGATCTTTTGATAGAAAGTGCAGCTCACAGGAGGCCTATTGGCTATGCGAGTATCACACTGATTTATAGGACGTGTCGTAACAATAAACGACGCAGGATTATTTGTAAGTCCCAGGGACACAGTGAAGTTATGAGGGAGAGATAAGCATACACACACTCACAAACACATAAACATCCATGCATCATCACTTTGAAGGAAACACAAGCTGAGGGAGGTTTTCCAGGCAAAGAGTCTAAAATGAATTTCAGTAAACACTCATTTACTGCCTGCATGTTTTCATTGTGCAAAAACGGAATCAAATATTAGCCTACAGTCACTTCCAGCGTTGCCTGTATCAGAAATGCAGCGAGAATGTGCTGAAGTGGCTGACTGACGTCAGCTGCATCGCACATAGCAACCCAAATGCGTACATGAGGCTATGCATAGAGAGAACCTGGCAACAGCAGGAAAACACGCCTCCTCCGAGCGCATGTACATCATGTGTCAGTGTGTGTGTGCAGGAGGGGCTGGTGTCGTGTTCAAAGATGCACACATGAGGATCAGGACTGACCTGTCAAACGCTGCCTGGATTTTATTTTACCACTTTGACAACCCAGCAGCATATACGAAATAACAGAAACACCCTGACAATACAGTAACACATCCAGCATGAGTAGTTCTAATTTAGCCTGTGTGAAGGCTAAATTTTCCCTGCAGCTTGAATAAAGTAAATCCCTTAAGGGAATCTGGTTCTCAACTAGTTTGATGTGTTTTTTTTTAAAGAATTTTCTCATTTAAATTCCTTGTGTATTTGTGGAAAATTTATAAGGAATCTTCAATATTGAGATCCAGATAGACTTAAAAAATAATCCCTTTTAATGGGCTCGGACTCACCTCTGACAGAATTACTTATTTGGGAATGCGGCTAAGAAACAAGAAACCAAATCAGTCAAATAGCCCCCTTTGGAAGAAGTAACTGAAGTACAGCACAAACGTAAATCAGACAAAGAGTAGTATATAACTAGTTTTGCCAACATTGATCAACATAGAAGGCTGCGCGAGAAAAAAGTGTCTTGAGTTGAGGTGTGTTTTATTTTTTTCTAGCTTTAATTCATAGGAGAGAAGATATGTTACTTTCTTATCACATAAATTATTAATAGGATCACATTATAACATAGTGTTCCTTTTATTTTGTCCACTTGCCACCTAGTCTGCACTGTCCTGTAAAATCTCACTGACATTCCCTTGTGCCAAAAGTGTTGTGTATGCTGTTATAGGGGTTCTGGTATCCCATTACTCCACTCCAGGACAAAAGGAGTCATGTGACAGACCCAGCTACCTCTCCTGCGCCTGCTCCTCTGACTTTGGATTATGTGTCTAACCCGTGCATCCTTCAGGCTGTCCTGCCCCCTGGGAGCTTCGCTCTGTAGCTGCACTGCTCCATGTTAGAAAAAGCTGGTTTTAACAGTCATTTTTCATCCGCTTTTTCTCAAATAGCCTAGATATCAGCATTGCCAGACAGCCTACCTCTGCAGCCATGTGTCGATGTGTCCTTTTCTGTTTTTACATACATCTGATTTGGTCTGTTAGTGTATATTCTGTGCTTTGGAGTGTGAAGGTTAGCTCTTTGAGGCAGGACAATACTGATGCTTGCAGATGCTTAATCCTTCAGCCAGCAAAACCAAAAAGAAGGCTCACGAACATTTGCATAATTGAATGAGTGCCTTATTTGTTATAAATTATGCATGAGTCAGAATTAAGGATCTGTTTTGTGACGTGACTCAGTGTTAAAGAGAATCTGACATTCCTGTAGGGTCGGTCTGTAGACATCAGATGAGTTGCTGCTGTCCGTCTTATTTTCTTCCTTGTTTTCTCCCCAGAGAAAGAAAAAACCAAGAAGCACAGGCAGCGAGAAGAGGAACTGATCCTGAAGATCCATAAACTGGTGCAGAAGAGGGATTTTCTGGTCGACGATGCCGAGGTGGAGAGATTAAGGTACGGCCCTCCTAAGCTCTGAGCACAGCTCATATATGGGATGACGTCTCTGTGTGCTGACTGTCTGTTTACTCAGATACCGCTGGCTGTTTATTTCTTCATATGATCCTCATAGAAGAGTTGAGAAACAGCAGGAAGAAGACTCATTAGAGTAAATGTGTAGCGCGAATGTGAACTTGACTGAAGACGGCGAACAGGGGTCACTTCATCATCACAGCAGTGTTTAGCTGTGTGTGTGGGAGGGAGGCTGACTGATGACTGTGGCTCTGCATTGTCTGCTCCCCCAGATAACCCACAGAGTGTGACACAGAGATAACTTTCAGATAGGCAAGATAATGGGTTTAAATCACAGCGTGAACAAATGTCTGTGGGACTCAAAAGATTCATTTTGTAACTGTGCCTTCAGATTGCTCTGGGTTATTTCGGTGTCATTATAATCATTTTTTGTGACGGTACTGAGTCACAACCAAAGAGTCTCAAAAGTGATTATCTTCTATCAAAATCAATCCACATGTAGCATTAGATTACATCCAACCGTGTGTTCTCTTTCATTTCAGGTAACAGAGCTGCAAAGATAAATCTTTAATTTTACAGTCTACTGGGTCTACTGGGAGTTTTCCCCCACATACATCTCTAGAGTTTATTGAGAAGATATCCAAAATGCCTTGCTGAAGCCCGAGGTCAATAGCCAGACTGCTTTAGGCTCATAGGAAGGCGAAAGTAATTCAAATAATAACTTGTTACAACACTATGCTGAAGAACATGTCTGAACATACAACATATTGAACCTTGAAGCAGATGAGCTGCAGCAGCAGAAGACCACACCAGGGGCCACTACTGTCACCTAAGAGCAGGAATCTGAGGCTACAGTGTGTCAGTTGGGCTGCTGCTGGTTATGTAATGATGTGAGGGATATTTTTATGATACTTCGGGGCCATTAGTACTAATTAAGCATGGTTTAAAATGCCACGTCACCCGAGTATTGTTGCTTACCGTGATTTCCTGAACTTCACTCAAATTGTCTCTGCAGTCACCCGATCTCAGTCCAAAAAAACACCCCTGGGATGTGATAGCATCATGGATGTGTGAAGCCATCATGTCAATATGGACCAAAATCTCTGAGCATCATGTTGACAAGCTGTTTGTTGTGCTACAACAACTGTTTTAAAGTTGTTAAGGCAAAAGAGGTTCCATAATGTTACTAGTAAGGTGTCAATGATGACGTGGCTGGCGAGTGTGTGTTTCTATATTTCCTATAAATTTGTTTAGAGGAAGCATATTGAAACAAAAATCCTCATTTAGGTCAGCAGATGTCATTTTGTTGAGTGTTTGAAGTCCATGGTAGCCAACAAGGGTGCAGAGCAAGCTCCTTCCTAATATAATTTAGTGAGATACATGATTAAGTGTCTGAAAGACAGAGCAGAAACAGAACCTAATAATAATCTTAATTTGTACTTCAATAAGGATGAAAACATATTTATAGATCCTGATGACCAAAACGTCTCTGAATGTAGACCAGAGAAGGACAGAAAAACATTTTTATTATGCCTCCCTGGCTTCTGTATTCCAGCCAAGAATCTGTTTTCTTTTTTCGCCTTTTTGTCTTTAAATATATTTAAAACTGACCTCCGCCTCAAAGTGAAATTAACAGAAAAAATGGATTATTTGTTGATTTCTTCATCTTCATATTTTATTGCAGTTTGCAGGTTACAAGAGCTCATGACTGCTTTGAAAACAGAAATATTGGATATATAAAATGTGCTCAGCAGAGCTTACATTTTATTACTAAACTAATTATAGTTAATTCAGGACCACTGTAGTCCAAGGATTATTATTTCACTGAGCAGTAATTCATGTTTAGCAGCGTAGCTCTGTTCTGGAAGAGGTGCTCAAAATATTCTCAGCTTAGCTGTCAGCTGATCGGGTCTGGACTGTATTTGACAGATTTGTAGTCTGGACCAGTGCGAGTCCAGATACTGGTGGAGTTGATGTAGTAAAGTCATGGAAACTTTGGCATCTAGGAGGATGAGGTGATGATTGAGAAAGTGAAGGGTTAAACGTTGGTAGGTCTGAAAAGGAAGATTGACAGAAGGAGCGGAGAGTGATTGACCTGAAGAGTGTGAGCAGAACGATAACATGACAAGTACAGGGACGTCAAAAGAGTGAAAGAAGCGATTTTGACAGAGTGGGAAAAAGAGGCAAGAAGGAGAAAGCGACAAATAGAATAAAAAGAGACAGAAAGTGTTCATACATACTCGGATAAAGACAGGAAGGAGCTGAACTGACTCCAAAGCTTCAAAACAAGTAAATATGTTCCACTGGTGTATGTAGGCAGTGGGAGTGGATAACCCTGATATGATTCTGACTGACCACGTGGCAGCCGGTTAGATCAAAGTCTGCACAAACGAAGGGGAAAGGTAACAGAGAGAAAGCCTGTTTTTATGAAAGATAAGTCTGTAGTTGCTCAAAGTAATAAAAAAACCCTGGTTGTTTCAGACAGTAGGCTTCACCAAGGCCCACTATAAGATGAGGATTGTCTTGAACTGTAAAGCATGTGTGCTCACTTTAATAGAGATTAAGAAGAAAAATGCAGAGCTTGAAATGAACAGACGAAGGAATTTTAAAAGTTGGTAGTCTCTTAAAACACCCCCCCCCCCAAATGTTTAGCTTTGAAAATGAAAATGAATAGTTTTGAAAATACCAAAAACTGTGGCGCAGTCATGCTGTCCAGTCAGTCAGTCCAGTGGTGCTACTTCAGTCAGATAAAAGCAGACATTTTCTGAATTTCATTCAGACTAAGATGTGGATGTTTTGTACCTCAGGGAGAAGGAGGAGGACAAAGAGATGGCGGAGTTCCTCAGGCTGAAGCTGATGCCTCTGGAACAGAAGCTCAAAGTCACACAAAGTGAGTGAGAGGTTAAAAATAACTCATGCACACCATCTTAAAGAGACAAGAGCATTGCATGTGATTATGTCTCTTTTTTCCCCTCTCCCTTTACGACAAGATCCTCCAAAGCCCAAGAGACAAATCCCTGAGCCGCCTCCCAACAAGCCATCCATCACCAAGTCAGGAGCGGCCATCATTAAGGACTGCTGCGGAGCCACCCAGTGTGCTGTAATGTAACTGACCCAAACCTGCTTATGGCCCCGACCCTGTGTCAGACACCGCACTTACATCACACGACATGACGTACATCACTTCCTGTTACTCAGAGAGTCACAGTCAACCACGAAACTGTTCAGGTATCAGATTCGTAGCTTAGTTTGCAAGAGGTTGGGAGCTGATCCCCGGTCAGTATTTAAGGGAAACTTTTATAGTAAGGAGCTTTTAACCAAGACCATGAAATCAAGGGAAAGGAAGCTGTGAAGAGAACTGTAAATAAAAACTATGTTAAAAGTGTTGATTTATTTGTTCAGTCAGTTTTCAGATTGGTTAATTACATCATGACAGGTTCAATGAGGATGGATCTCATCTGCAGAGCTACAAGCACAATGTCCGTAAAGTGAACTGAATGCTGGAGTTCTCTGACAGGAAGAGAAAAGTTGATGTCTGACGACGGGTATTCATTCTTCATTTAGTGCTTAAAATCCAACCAGTGAATCTCTCAGTTGCTACATTTTATCATTTTCCCCAGGTGGGACAAACACAAGTGGCTCTGAAAAACAATATGGCTCCCTGTTAAGGGACTTATGCAAACTGATTTATATATGCTAATGAGGAGAGGGAGCCAGGTGGATGATTTTTTCTACAAGTGCTGAGCAATATTATCAAACAGCAGTTTAATTCTTATGGCATTTACAAATTAAACAAAGACTTAATGCTGAACAAACTAAGTTGCCTCTTTTCCACTGACGTGCTGCCAGTGCCCGTGTTGAACTGGTTCTGTATGACGGAGACTGAAGTCAGTGCCAAAAATCTGATACAATACTGTTGCCAAGCCGGAAGTTGAAACCGCTAACATCAGGGTGGAGATACAAGAAATATAGAGCTTATTCACCTGTAGATTCTGTCCACAGTACCCCCCACCCCACTGAAATTACTCCAACCTTTGCTACATAACATCTGGTTCATTCTCAAACCTGTGGAAATGTCAGCTGGTTCTCAAAGGCTCTACGCAGCACGGCATCAGTGGAAACCAGATCAAAAATGAGCTCATATTAGGCTCAGTGCTAGTTAGCCATGTGCGTCCTGTAGGAGAGGTCCAATTATGTTTCTAGAAGTCTTCAAAAGGACAGTTTTCTCTATCCAATCTGGAGTGAGATCACCGAGAATGATCAAAAGAAAACTCTTATATATCAGAACAACATTTAAATGAAAATATGATGGGAGAAAAGTTAATTAATTTTGAGATAGCAAAAATAAATCCATGTACATCTTGAGGTGTTCTGGGGAGTCCTCTAAATCAAATGTTATAGATGGTAGTAGAATAAAACTGGAACAAAAATGCATCTAAACTTTTTCCAACACAATTTATAGAGCGTGCCAACTAGCATCCAGCCTAATGACTCACCTTTATAGTTTTCAGGAACCCCTTTCATGAGGACTTTAATGCCTGTATATGCCAACACTTGATCTTCCATCATCACATTTACCCACCTCCCCAAATCAACACATCAGAGCCCATATTAAGATCTGCATCATCAGCTGCCAGGAAGTGTTCACTGTGGTAGTGAGACATCATTCATCATCATTCTGGATATTGCAGAGAAACAACATGCATCCTTTGAACTTAAGTCTTGCGTTTTTAAAATGATAAACTCCAGGAAATGAATGCAACTCTGCTGTAAATGCCTCCAATAGATGGTGTGTGTTTGAGTGTATTTAGGACTTTAGTGTGACTCATGTCAAGCAAAGTGTTGCTCTCTGTCACTTTACCTTTGTTCTGATAACTTAGCATTCTGTAGTTGTAGTGGATTTATGAAGGTCCTAATGTCAAAGTATTGAACAAATATGCAGAAAATAAGCTGAAACTACCTGTACATATATGTTTAAATAAAGAGCATCTTTCAGGAACTTGCTGTGTGTATGTTTGAATAATGAGAAGAGGCAGAAATAATGCTTGTGAAATTTATTAACGCAAATCTTTTTTGGTCCCTTCAACAATGTGACTGTTACAGCAACTTTAGGTGCAGCACAGTGGTAAAACAGTGCAGTACAGGGAGGGGAGGGGGAAATTAGTTGGGCAGTTTAAAAAAAAAAAAGAAGAAAAAGGTTAAAGGACACTGCTGAATACATCAACTTCCTTTGACAAGAAGAACAAATGTGCAATATTAAAGTTCAAAGTAAGACAAGGTGAGATACACAGGCAAAGAAGAAACTTGTTTAAACCACCATGCAAACGCCTCACATTCATTAAACCAAAACTATGCATAAGTGCATATGTTGACTGGTATAAGAGCCTTTCATTGACGTAACTGAATCAAAGTGAAAACTAAATAAAATCAGAGGTAGTTGTCACTGCAGTACACCGAGGAGCTGCTAGGGTTTGCTCAAATTCACTAAAAAGTAATGTCTTCATTTCTCATATGCATTTTAAGCTAGTTTCTATCATTACCACTTCTAAATAATGATTTTGAACCAATGAGTCTTTAATCAAAGTGGCTTCCAGACAGTCAACAAAACCCTACAGGAGAGATAAACAATAACAGCCATAATTAAAATCATTTTGATTTGTATGTCAGACATTTTGCTGAGTTGTTAGGGGAAATTTTTCAATTCATGTCTGACAGAAAGACTCATGTTATGCTTCGAACACTGACTAAACAGGCAGAGAACGCAAACAAACTGATTCAATGGGCTGCTGCCCATTCTCTAAACTTTTCTCTGAACAAAAACAGCTTCAACCCTCTGACTTCAGTGGCACCCTGGTCGTGCTCGACGTCACAGGCAGTCAACATTGTTTGGTGGCAATTCAGTAGTCAGCAGCCTGGTAAATGCTCAAGACAAACGAAATTTGAGAAAACTAACCCACAACAGTAAGTTAAAACTGCTATTAAAGCGGGTGGGGAGGTAAAGATGGTGAGTCCTTTCAGCACCGGGGCAGATACAAACCATTGTAAAAGCCCGGCAGATTCCAGAGAGCCTCAGAGGGGCCTCTGTGTGCACATCAATCTGTTCAGGAGGCTTCCCAGAGCCCCCTATGCTGTTCCTCAAACCCATCACCCATCACCTTCTTTCCCTAAAAACTCAACTATTCAGTCTCATTAAAAATCATAAGCTCAGGAGTGCTCACCGCTCCCCTCAAGATC